GTTCAGGAGCCAGTGCAAAGGGGCATGTGGCTAGGCCAGGGCCCCAGGGTGTAACCCAAGTGTGGGTACCAGGCCTGCCACTGTCGGGCTGCTGCAGTGAGGTGCAAAGGTGAGGCACAGCCCGTGAGCAGGCCTAGAAACAGCCCTTCTCAGCGGGGACCCTCACCCTGGCAGACTGCCCCTGGACCCAGGGGAGGCCAAGCCTGGGACTGCAGGGCAGGCTCAGGAGACCATGTGCCCCTTCACTCACACTGGGCCACCCACCTGGCCAAGAGCCCAGACCCCTCACAGGGCTCCCCCCACACTGGCAGCCAGGGTGGGGCAGATGGGCAGGTGGTCCTCTCTGGCACCCATCCTGCCACTGGGCCTTCTTAGTGCCTGCCAGAGCTCTGTAGCCAGCCCCTCTAGAGAACAGGCCTGTCACTCCAGACAGCTGCACCTTGTTCCCTGGTCTTAGGATGTGTGGCTCTTGGCCATCTTCCCCTCTGTCCCCCGCTCCCTTTCAGCCCCTCACCCCCACCCAGGAAGCCCCTCGGGCCCTCCTGGGTCTGACCCTTCCCCCACTGTCCCAGAGCCTGGCTGTCCCTCCCCTAGTCCGCCCCCTAATTCACTGCTCTAGCCCTGCCACTGGGAGCTGCTGTCCCACCTCAGGCTTCTCCCCTCACCTCCACCCCAGGTGGTCTCACATGGTTCAGATCGGCCAGCCTGGCCCCTCTATGGCCCCAGGCAGCTCTCATTCCAGGAGTCACTCCCACCTTCCTCCTGTGTGACCAGTGGGGCCGCCTGAAGATTTAGGACATTGTAGGTGGCCCAGCAGGGTGCCCCTCCCCCAGGGAGGTGGGGTGCCCCTAGCTCTTTCCAGGCAGGCGCCTGGAGTTACCAGGGGTGAGGGGACAAGGGGAGAGGGGGAGGGTGGCCAAGCCAGGGACAGCCCTGGCAGGGGTGCGGGGGTGGGGGAGGGAAGGCTGGGAGCAGGGCAGCGGGACCACACCAGGACAGAGAGCTGGGCTGTCTTTGCAGGGGCTGAAGAAGCCCAACGTGGAGGAGATCCGGCATGCCAAGAATGCTGTGTTCAGCCCGTCCATGTTTGGCAGTGCACTTCAGGAGGTCATGAGCATGCAGAAGGAGCGGTACCCTGATCGGCAGCTGCCCTGGGTACAGACACGTCTATCTGAGGAGGTGCTAGCGCTCAACGGTGACCAGACGGAAGGCATCTTCAGGTGCCCCGCAACCTGGGCCCTGGGTGTGGGGGCCTTGGGTGTCTCCACTGTGTCTCAGGCAGGCACCATCAGGCACCAGGACCACTGGGCCGACTTCCATGCCCCAGCCTTGGGTTTTGGGGCCAGGAGACCCATGCCCCTGCCTGGGAATAGCCAGAGAGGCCCCCCCACAAGAAGCCATCATGTGGGCGGGGAGAGACACCCCGGAGCAAATGGAAGGGCCACTATCAACCGGGAAAGGCAGGGCAGGGCCCCATCCTTAGGAGCCAAGCCAGAGAATCATCCCCCTGAACGGCAGCATGCCTGAACTTAGGAGGGTCGGCCAGGGACAGTGCCTCTGTAAAAATGGCCACCAGGGCCCCAGAGGGCCCTTGGATGGTAACCATAGGCAGGGCCTGAGACGTGAGCCTGGAAAGACATCCCAGCAGCAGCCAGCAGATGCTGCTCACCTGTGAATAGGGATGATAGTCTCTGCCCCATGGGGCGTAGCACAAGGCCTGCTGTCAAGACTCACCTACCCAAGCCCCGGGGGAGGGGGGGACAGGCTTGAGGGTCTGAGCCTCAGCGGCCCTGCTGATAATGGCATCTGCCTGGGGATGGCCAGCAGAGGGAAGAGGGACAGCATGGGGGAGGGGTCTGGCCTGGCCGACGATGCATGGGGGAGGGGTCTGATCCGGGGCAAGACAGAGTCTTCCTCCGTGTGACCCACCCTGTGCTCCACAGAGTCCCTGGGGACATTGATGAGGTGAACGCCCTGAAGCTGCAGGTAGACCAGTGGAAGGTGCCGACAGGCCTGGAGGACCCCCACGTCCCTGGTGAGCCTCCATTCCCTAGGAGCTGAAGCAGGCCTGCTCCAGGCAGTTGAAACATTTGGGCTCCCCCTAATTCCCCCAGCGATGTCATGGCTCCCAGTCCATTTCTAGCACAGACAACCCCTCCCATCATGCAGTCTCCTGGGGGCCCTTCTTCCAGCCTAGCCTGCCGCTCTCCTGCACTCCCTGCATCAGCCCCCAGCACCCCTAGGGTCAATCCAGGCCCTCAGGAGCACCAACACGCCAGGGTCTGGGCCTTGCCAGTCTGGCCCGACACTCCCGCTCTCACGCCGCACGCTGCCCCTACCCTGTGTCGCCCTAACCCGCTGACCACTCCACGGCTCCCGCCCAGCCCAGGGGAGCCCGCCCAGCAGGCTGTGCTGAGCACCCTGCCCCGCCCCCCCGCCCGCGCTGTGTCCGCAGCTTCGCTGCTGAAGCTGTGGTATCGGGAGCTGGAGGAGCCCCTGATCCCGCACGAGTTCTACGAGCAGTGCATCGCGCACTACGAGAACCCCGAGGCCGCCGTGGCCGTGGTGCACGCGCTCCCCCGCATCAACCGCCTGGTGCTGTGCTACCTCATCCGCTTCCTCCAGGTACGCGGCGGGGCACGCCCCCACCCCTCCAGGGCACCCCTCACGCGCGGGGCCCGGCCCACCCTCCTGTCCCCTCTGCGCAGGTGTTCGTGCAGCCCGCCAACGTGGCCATCACCAAGATGGACGTCAGCAACCTGGCCATGGTGATGGCGCCCAACTGCCTGCGCTGCCGATCGGACGACCCGCGCGTCATCTTCGAGAACACTCGCAAGGAGATGTCGTTCCTGCGCGTGCTCATCCAGCACCTGGACACCAGCTTCATGGAGGGCGTGCTATAGCACGTGGGCCCCAAGGACCGAGGGTGGGGACAGAGCCAAGCTCGGGTGCGCCTGGGCAGGGGAGCACGCGGGGAGGGGGGAGGGAACGCCCCAGCCGCGGAGGCAGCATGCCAGGCCCCGCCCATGCCCGCCCCAGCCCTGGAAGCCCCCAACTTTCCCACCCAGGCCCTTGGCCTGAGGACGCAGCCGGGGCAGAGGGCGAGTGGGAAGAGCGCCTCTGGGCCCCCTCCCACCGCGCCGCCTAGTGGCCAGTTCCTTGGGCACCGCTTCGCCCACCGCCGGCCGGCCAGCCCCGAGAAAGTGCCTTCTGTTTCCTGGAGCCAAGTGACACTGCCCCTCCCGGCCGGCCTGAGAGCACACACCGCCCTCCCCCGGAGCGAGCTGCCTCGCTGGGGCTCCTGCGCTCAGCCTGGCCCTGGCCTGGCCCCTGCCCGGCTGCGCCTCTTTCCTCTGCCCCGCACTTCCCCTCGGTCTCCTTCCTGGCCTGTAGCCTCCAACACCCCGCACACCCCACCCGCACCCCGCCACCTGTGGCCTCCATCGTCGAGACTGCACAGGAGTTGGGGGCCCCAGGGCACTGGGCTGTCCATCACCAGAGCAGGGCCCGGCAGGCTCACTCTGGGTGGGGAGGGGCCCCCAAACCAAAGTCCTCTGGGGTGGGGGGCAGGGTTGGGCAGGCATTCTTGGGGCAGGGTGGGGGAGGGGCAAGAGTATTTTTTCTTCATGTAACTATAAATTCAGATTCTATCCAGCACACCAACCCGCCTGTGTATAAAGATATAGAGGGAAAGATATAAGAACTAAATTTGCTAATGACATAGTTTTAACCCAAATGCTATTTATCTCTGAGCCGTCCTAGCCTGTCCTCTGTGCAGAGCAAGTTGATATCACTCCATCATTTTCTTCGCCACTTTCTTGGCTTCTGACCAAAAACCAAACCCTGCCCCATCCCCACGTGGGACCTGCAGTTGAAGAGGGAAGGGACCCCAAGCTGGGGAACCAGGGAACGCCCAGGATTCCTCAAGGCCAGAGCTGGGGGTAGGAGGTACCTAGACTCTCAGTTTGTACATTTTCCATTTTGGAATTTTGAGTTCCAATTGTTAAACTTAATTTCTCCCCAGTTTATATATATATATATATATATTTTTTTTAGAGTTGAGTTTTTATTTATTATTAAAAACAAAAAAGCCCAGCCCTACCGCTGCCCGGGTGTCCCCTGAGGTAGCATCCTCAGTCGGGTGGTCTCCGGGCCTGGGATGGACGGCCCGGCCACAGACTCTCGCTCTGACGCATGGACTCAAGAGGTGACAACACTTTGTGTGAATAAAATACATATGGACACTTGTGAGCCACGGTCAATGCCTGTCGCCTCGTGCTCTTCCAGTTGCTTCAGAAGTCTGGGTTGGGGGCTGGGCAGCCCACTACTGCAGCCAGCCTGTTGCTAGTATGGTCACCTAGGTGGACAGGCCAGGGGAGAGTGGGGGAATGGAGAGAGCGCGTAGGGGTGGGGCTGTAAGCAAGGCTGTTTCCTGGGAATGGGGGAGAGGTGATGAGCCAGGGAGGGGGCACCAGCTGGGTGTTGGGTCCCCCTGCGCCGTCTGCGGCCACCGAGGGTATGTGTCGACCCCTAAGTCCCCGCCCGTTTGCACAGGGAGTGGGCTTTTTGTGACGCGTCCTACCCCCAACCTGCCATAGGTTCTAGGCAGAGTATTTATTCAGTAACTAGTTGAAAATGCAGACACAGCCCAGCCAAACTGGCTTTCTCTGAGGGGTACCTCGCCCACGTGCCGGCGGCCAGGCTCCGACGGCGGAGGGACAGAGCCTGCCTTCCTGCCAGGGCCTCGCTCCCAGGGCGTCCCCTCACTCCTGAATCCGTCTGCACCCCCGTATCACATCCACACCCCGCTGTCCCGGCGGTCTCGTCCGCTATCCCTTCCCCAGCGGGACACCAGGGCGGGCCGCTCCTGCCGTCCGGGAATCCGGTGCGCCCAGGGGAAGCGAGCTCCGCGCTAGTGCCCGGAACCCGAAGTGTGAGGCCGCAGTCGCCGGGGGATGCGTGTTCACGCAGCGCCAGCCCCGCGTGACCGGCCCGCCGCTTCCGGCGCCGGAGGAAGATGTGGCAGGCATGCGGAGCGCTCCGGACCGGCGCCCTGGCCTTGGCGCGGTCCCCGGGGACCCGGGCCTGCGGTGGAGGCGGGGACATCTCCTACACGCAGGGCCAGGCCCCAGAGCCCCGGACGCGAGAATATTTTTATTACGTGGATCATCAGGGCCAGGTGGGCCTGGAGCGGGGCCGGAGGGGGCGCATCTGTAAGAGAGGTGGGGTCGGAGGGAGGGCCCCTGCGAGGGGCGGGGCCTCCGAGGTAAGTGAACGTGACTGATGAGCTGGGTCAACGAGCTGGAGAGATTGGGGCGTCGGGCCTCAGCCCCAGAGGGGTCGGACCCCCAGCAGCCAACCTACCACACGCAGTTGCAGCTGCGTCTCGCGCGCTCTACATCCCCAGATCCTGCCCCTCCCTGCGGTCCCCGGCCCCCGGGGCCGCCCTGCCTGATTTGCAAGCCCTGGCGGGTGGGAGCAAGTCGGGGAGCCTCCGCGGAGGTGGCACACTTAATTAGAAACTTGAGGAAGGGAGAGGTACGGGGAAAGCATGGCAGCTCAGGCACCAGCACGGCCCGGAGTGCGGCGTCGATGCGGGAATGTCGGTAGGACCCCCGGTTTACTTTGCATTCGCCTCTCTGCACACGGTGTGTACACACGAGCAAGGGAAGCGGACACTAGCCTCAGCTCAGGCCTGCCCAATGCCTCCCCCGCCCTGGGGCCGACTCTGTCTGGCTCCCAGCTGGGACTCATGGGCAATGGCTTGCCCCTCTGTCCGCAGCTTTTCCTGGATGACTCCAAAATGAAGAACTTCATCACCTGCTTCAAAGGTACTGCTGCACCCTCTTACCCACCTTCTGTCTCCCTTCGGCAAGGCCCTGGTGGGCTCTGCTCCCCAGCCTCCCCACTGGCCCGCCCGAAGCAGAGGACTGGGCATCCTGCGCACAAGGGTCCTGCTGTCCAGAGTGAGGCCAAAGTGGTGGGCCGACGAGCGGTGCCAGCCCTTGGCGTTGCCCAGGGCAAGCCGTTTGCCTGGGGGAGCGGGGCCCCGTGTAGACTGGCATGGTAAGCAACCGCGCCCCTTCACCTCCAGACCCACAGTTCCTGGTCACCTTCTTCTCCCGCCTGAGACCCAACCGCAGCGGTCGCTACGAGGCCTCTTTCCCCTTCCTCTCGCCCTGCGGCAGGGAGCGCAATTTCCTGCGCTGCGAAGACCGGCCCGTGGTCTTCACGCACCTGCTGGCCTCGGGCCCCGGGCCCCCGCTTCTCTTCTACTGCGGCGGCGGTGAGGCCCTGGCCGTGCCCTTCGAGCCGGCGCGTCTGCTGCCCCTGGCAGCCAATGGGCGCCTCTACCACCCGGCGCCGGAGCGTGCGGGCGGCGTGGGCCTGGTACGCTCAGCCCTGGCCTTCGAGCTTAGCGCCTGCTTCGAGTATCCGCCCGGCGCGTCCGCGCTGCCCTCGCACGTACGCTGGCAAGGCCGCCGCCTCGCCCTCACCATGGACCTGGCCCCGCTGCTGCTCGCCACCCCGCGGCCCTGAGCCGCAGGTGCCCCTGGCCGCCCGCCCCGCCCCGCGGTCCTGCCCCCCTCCCCGCGAGGTCCCGGCCGCGCATCGCTGCGCACGCGCACCCAAAGAGCGCGCCGGCCGAATGCGCGTGCGCGGCACAGGTGCACCGCGGCCCGGGCGGCTCGGCGCTGTCCGAGGTGCTGCCGCGTCCGTGGCCTCGACCGCGAGGAGGGGCGGGGTCGCGGGCCCTTCTGCTCCCTCCCCACACCTCGGGCCTGGGGCGTCCTTTGGTTTGGCCCTCGCTCACTGGGGCGGGCCGGGGAGGCCGGGCCGGAGGCGCGGGGGCTCCAGTGCGCGTGCGCGTGCGCGAGCGGCGCCCGCCCCTCCCCCGCCCGGCGCTGCTCAGTGGGCCGGGGCGCCGCGGGCTCGGCGGGGGAGCCGCGCCGCGGGAGTGTCAGGTGAGGGGGCGCCCGACCCGAGGTCAGCGGGCATGGGGGCGGGATCGGGGGCCTTTCCGGCTCTGTACCCCACGCGCACCGAGAAGGGGAGGAGACCTGGCAGGGACCACGCCCTGCCCTGAACTGGCTCAGGACAGACCCGCGCTGGAGGGGGTGCAGGTGACACCGTGGGGGGAATCGAGGCACGCGGCTCAGGCACTGAACCCGAGGGGGTCGCAGGGCTTCCTCGCCCCTCCAGTCCCCGCACAGATGGGCGCCCTGGAGACGGTGACAGCCAACGCAGAATCCTGTGTGTGACGCCCCGCCCCCTGCCCATCCGGATTAGAGGGCTGTCCGCTGGGTAAAAGGCTTTCTGGGCTGGCCGCCTCTGCTCTTCCCGCCTGGGCCCTCATCCCTGCTCAGGCCGGCCCTTTTATTCCAATCAGTGTCTAGGGGGTGTCCCTGTGAACCGCAGTGCCTTGAATCCTAAGGAGGAAGCCAAGAAGCTCCTCTACTTAAGAGGACTTGCCGCTGGAGGCTGGGTGGGCAAGCCCTGGGCCAGCGCTTTGGCTCAGGGAAATGGATCCCAGGAGCCCAGAGTATGCCTTCAGGTCCTTGGGGTTCACACATATCCGGAGACACCTGGGAACTGCCTCTGCCTGGGCCAAAGCTATATTCCATTAAAACTTTTGCTGTGCCTACCTCATTTCTAGTGACTTTAAATAATCATGTGAGTTGCAATTTAGAGCAAGATTTGAGCAGACACCAAGGCCCCTTGGTCCGTTTCCACATGACTCACTCTTGCTAGCAGGGAGACTTGGTAAACAGGCAGGTGTTCAGAGCGGGACCCTTTGAGGAAGGGCTGGAGGCTGGATGACAGCACACCCTCAGCTTTGCTATCCCTAGTTCCAGACTAGCTGGCTTCTCGGCCCAAGTCCCCACCTTTAAAACTGGACTTACTGTGCCTGGAACTAGTCCCAGGCCTCCCCATCTCTCTAGGATCACAGGTGCATGTGCATAAATCCCAAACACACAATATATTCCCTCACAATTTAGGAGGTCACTGCTTCCAAAGCCCACTTGGGAAACTACCCTAGAAACCCAGTTGGTGGCCCAAGGCCCCTCTTTTACAACGCAGCTGTTCCAGAGCGCCCCCCCCCCAAAAAAAAACAGAAGCAACTTGCTGGGAGCCAGCAGGGAGAACATAGGCCATTTCCTATTGTGTGCCACATCCCCCAATTGTCTAACAAGTTCCCTGAGAAATACCCCTAATTCTCTGCAAGCTGTTCCACCCACTCTCACCCCCAGGAGGGCAGGGGCAGGGGCTGGATAAAGCCATGCTTGCATTTTCCTATGGCTGGTGGCTCCCAGATTAGTTCTGCCCATGTTAACCATCAAGATACATCAGGTGGATCCCAGGGTCGGGGAACACAGCATGAGCCCTAGGGAGAAAAGGACTAGACAATGCTGGGTCAGGGTTGGGTGAAGACAAGGACACTGGCCTTGTGGGGCCTGGGGCCTTGTGTTGGGGGCACAAGACTTCTGTTATGGACTCAGCTTTTGGAGGTCTCACAGAGAGGAGTCCATGTGGACAAGGGGAAATGTCTTCCCAGAGCCTGTTCTTCATCTTCTAGCCTGTGCTTGGGTAATGGGCTTCACCACCTCACCTTGCACTAGCCTCTTGCACCTTAGATTCGAGTGGCCAGTTGCTAGAATGTAGAGGGAAGCCGGATCCAGACGTCCATACGCACGAGTAGGAAGCCCCTTACGGTGCCAGGGAGATAGATGGGAAGAGAAGAGAGCTCGGGCAGGGCTGACTCTCCCCACATGGCCTGTGTAGTAAGACTAAGAATAGTGGAAATTCCAAACTGAAACCTGATGCCCCAGATCTTCATGACTGTTTTTATAAAGGAGGGAAACCAACTTTTTTTTTTTTTTAATCAGTTGCTTGAACTGATTTATAACTTTTCAGAAACTAGACACAAGCTGTGGGCCTCCATCATGTCCTTCTCTGGCTCTCAAGTGTTAGGGGCAGGCCTGCCAACCTGTGTTTCAGGAGGCACATCACATCCGGGGTGGACTATAAGGAAGCCCGTCAGGAGGTTGCAGCTTCGTGGCCCGCGGCCGGTCCCGCGGGAGATGGCCCCGGGCGCGCCCACACTGCTGCTGCTGTGGCTGCTGTGGTTCCCCGACTTCCCGGCCCGCGCTGCCGGCTGCCCGGCCGCCTGCCGCTGCTACAGCGCCACGGTGGAGTGCGGCGCCCTGCGGCTGCGCGTCGTCCCGCCCGGAATTCCACCTGGGACGCAGGTGGGCACCGCGTGGGGCCACTGGGCCGCGGAGCAGAGGTGCCCGCGACACGGAGGGAGGGCTGTGTGAGCGTCCCTGTGGGTGCTGGAGCACCCTAGGGAAGAGGGAGACTCCCTCAGAGGCGTGAATACCCTCCTTCCCTCCGGCCCGCAGACGCTGTTCCTGCAGGACAACAGCATCGCGCGCCTGGAACCGGGTGTACTGGCGCCTCTCGCAGCCCTGCGCCGTCTCTACCTGCACAATAACAGCCTGCGCGCCCTGGAGCCAGGCGCCTTCCGCGCGCAGTCACGCCTGCTAGAGCTAGCGCTCACCGGCAACCGGCTGCGTGGCTTACGAGTTGGCGCTTTCACCGGCCTGGCCCAGCTCCGTGCGCTCTACCTGGCTGGTAACCAGCTAGGGCAGCTGCTGGATTTCACCTTCCTGCACCTACCGGTGAGGGGGTTAGGTGGGCTAGGGGTAGTGAAAGGGAGAAAAGTCAACCCAGTCTATCCTGCTAGGAAGGGATCCTGTGTCCCAGGGCCTTTCCCTGATGATCTGCTGTCCTTCCTTCAGCGACTGCAGGAGCTGCACCTGCAGGAAAACAGCATTGAGCTGCTGGAGGACCAGGCCCTGGCCGGGCTCTCCTCATTGGCACTGCTGGACCTCAGCAGGAATCAACTGGGCACCATCAGCCGTGAGGCCCTACAGCCCCTGGCCAGCCTGCAGGTCCTGCGCCTCACAGGTACCTCCTTCCGGGGGGGAAGGGATCTCATGCAAAGCTTTATTCCCCGGCCACAGGGGTGGCAGTAGGAAACAGGCTCAGGTGTGGAGGGGACTTTGATTTCAGTGGCTCTGAATTGCAGACCATCCAGGAGCACTCTGGAGGGCCATGCCACCACCTGCACCCATGGGAGAAGTCTGATAGGAATGGGGATGCTGGAAGGGACACAGCTCAGGGAACTTGCCTAATGAAGACAGAAAAGGTAGAAATCCCTGGTAAGAGTTGAGGGGCTTACACTTGCACACTTTGGGGCTATCAGGGCAGGCAGGCAGAAACTGGAAGGATGAAACTAGGGCTGGCATTCCAGGACACAGCACCTGAAGACAAGGCTGACAGGACCTGCAAGGTTTCAGTGCTGCAGGATGTCTATGTGGACACCAAGCTTCCCCAAAAATAATGGGACTTGTTGCAGAGACTTCAGAGGAGTAGAGGCTTCCTTAGAAATTAGAGATCTGGAACATGCATCACAGAACTGAAGAGGGAGGGAAGAGCGTGCCCACACTCCAAGGAGCTTGGGGTCAGAGAAGAGGCTGCAGGGGCGCCCTGTGGGAGACAGGAAAGGGGCTCCTGTTCTGGCCAACCACCCCTGAGCTACCAGCCCGCCACTGCTCTGCCCACAGAGAACCCATGGCGCTGTGACTGTGCCCTGCATTGGCTGGGAGCATGGATCAAGGAGGGCGGCCAGCGGCTGCTCAGCTCCAGGGACAAGAAGATAATGTGTGCAGAGCCCCCGCGCCTGGCCCTTCAAAGTCTCCTGGACATATCTGGCAGTAGCCTCATCTGCATCCCACCCTCTGTACACGTGGAGCCGCTGGAGGTGACAGCCAACCTGGGGGAGGACCTGCGGGTTGCCTGCCAAGCTTCCGGCTACCCGCAGCCCCTGGTGACCTGGAGAAAGGTGGCCCAGCCTCGCGAAGGGCAGCGACGGGCTCAGATCCAGCCAGACGGCGGGGCGCCGCGCCCAGGCGGGCCCGGCGCCTCTGACACGGGCAGCGGCATGCTCTTCCTCAGCAACATCACCCTGGCCCACGCTGGCAAGTACGAGTGCGAGGCCTCCAACGCCGGCGGCGCCGCCCGCGTGCCCTTCCAGCTCCTGGTCAACCTGTCCCAGCAGCAGCAGCAGCTGCAGCGGGCGCCCCCGCCGCCCCCGCACGCCGGCCCCGTCAGCCACGAGCCCCTGCACGAGGCGGGCAGCATGGCCTTCCGCGCCCTGGGCCTGGCCACGCAGACGGCCATCGCAGCCGCCATCGCGCTCCTCGCGCTCACGGCGCTGCTGCTGGCGACCATGATCTGCCGCCGCCGGCGCAAGCGGAAAAAGGCGCCGGGGCCGCCGGGGGAGGGCGCGCTGTTCGTCAACGACTACTCGGATGGGCCCTGCACCTTCGCGCAGCTCGAGGAGCTCCGCGACGAGCGAGGCCACGAGATGTTCGTCATCGACCGCTCCAAGCCGCTCTTCGCAGAGGGCCCGACGGAGGCGGCCGACGGCGCGGCGACCGGGCCGGCGCAGGGCCTCCCGCTGCAGCCGCCCGCAGCCTATGAAATTCACTGCTGAGCGGGGGG